ATTTCTCCCGTCTTTCATCTTCTGATTCTGATTTAATCCACATTTCTTTCATATTCTGATTCTGATTTAATCCACATTTCTTTCATCTTCTGAGAGCATCCCCAGGACCTCCCAAAGCTGAAGCAGTTTTTGTTCTGGAGAGGAATCCATTAACCTTTGGAGGCTTTGTGCCGGTGGTTTATTTACTGACCGGGGCTTTGATAAGTTCCCCTTCTCCCCGTTTATCAGCACGCCGCGCCATTTTAGCCAATTAGCATTAAAATGAGCTCCTGGTTTTTGTTATTTTGTTGTGTGGTCTCCTTATTTTTTTTATTTTTTATTCGTCACATGCAAACGGCCCTTTGACAGGAGAAGTTCAGAAAAGGTTGGAGAGGGAAATCCACCCGTCTGTGTTCTGTATTATCCTTCAATTTAATTCAGTTTTATTTATATAGCACCACATCACAACTAGAGGCTGACATTTTTTCGGGATTCCCGTGGGATTCCTGCGGGATGGGAGTCATCTTTGCTATTAATCAGGGGATGTGGACGGTAGGATAAATGGTTAAAGGGAGCAGACAGGAATCAACCAATAGCAAAGACGAAAAAAAAAAAAAGTAAATGCACCATTTTGTAGTTTCCTTTTGATCATTGATAAAAGTTCTCTTGAAACAAGGAAATAGTCTATACGTGAGCGGGACTTATGTATACCCGAGTGACAAGAGAATTCTATTTTATCAGGATTTTGTTCTCTCCACACTTCCACCAGGTTGATATCCAATATATATTGACTTATTAATTTCCTAGTTTGATTTTTATAAGCATCTGGGCCAATTGATCGGTCAATATTTGGGTTTAAAGTGCAGTTGAAATCTCCTCCAATTACATAAAGTCCTTTAAGAGTAGATATAGTAAGAAACAGGTCTTCAAAAATTTTTGGCTTATTTTCATTTGGACCGTATAAACTCACTAAATTTAAAGTAAATGAGAAAATGTTACCCTGGACAATTACATACCTACCAGCTGAATCTTTTATTGTTCTTACAATTTGAAATGGTATGCTTTTATGGATCAAAATAATTACGCCTCTTGCATAATTATTATATGATGCATATATCACCTGGCCCTGTAGTTTCATTTTAATATCCCTACAATGTAACGCAATTAAAAAATAACGACATGACCCAGAAGCCATCAGGGCTTTTTGTCACGGCTTAAAAAGAATTCAAAATTCAAAGAGCAGTGATGGAGGAGCTAAAAAACATGATTTACAGCGCAAAGTCAGAAGTAAAGACATGTCTATTAAGTTCACAGAACTGGTGGGAAAGTCTGAAATATTATATAAGTTTATGAGAGTAGAATGTGACGCTGCTTCTAAGACATGTTTACATGTTTAATTCAGGAAAGAATCAGCCAAGCGTAATTAGTGAAAATCGTTAACATGTAGTTAAAAAAATATATAAATGTAAACTATAAATGTTTTGTTTAGTCAACAATAAATGAGTAAAATGCAGCTTTATGTGCTGTTTGGGTTCATTAAACTATTGTCGACATGGTGTGAACTGTACAGTTTTTCTTTTATTTGCTGTATTCCATTATCTGAAGAAAATCTAGAAACAGGGGCTAAGCAACTGGTCTAAAACAGGATGGAGACTGGAGAGCACATTAAATCAAATTCTATGTATTAACTAAACACTAATTGAAGAAAAAAAAAATATGTGAGCGGTACAGGAGTTTAAACAGGAGCGGGATGGATGGGATTATTTTTTAACTTTGGTCTGGGAGGGGGACGGGACGGGAATAAAAATCCACTCCTGTGTCTTCCTCTAATCACAACAACAGCTATCTCACAGCTTTTTGGCATGAATTTGGAGGAAAAGATGGAGGATGAAGCCGGCCGCTCTGAAGAAGGCGAATAGCATCCAGACTGTCAACTTTGGGACACTTTTGTGAATTAAATGTCATCATTTGGACCCTGAACGCCTCACATTGTGCTCAGGCCTTTGACCGGGCTGCAGGATTAAAAAAGGGGAGGAAACAGATTATAGGGTTCAACTCTCTCTCCTGCATTATTTCTTCTGTGAAATGAACCATTAGCACAATATTTCAGATATCAAGTTATCTCACCTATTCAAATCAAAGGTTTAAGGCATGTGATATCTTTGTTTACAGGTTATATTATCTTGTAAATGTCAGATTTACAGAAATCCCTCAATGCCTTACTACCCGTATTTGTTGAATTTGAGGCAATATCTGGTTATAAAATGAACCCTTTAATGCCAAATGTATCATATTTGATACGGTTTCTGAAATGTTTTGCGTCTGACTCCTTTTGCATAATTTAATGGTAAAAACTTTGCTCTAAATCCTATTGAACACAATCAGATACACCTGATAACAGGGGGCAGAAGACTACACAAAAAATAATCTGGAATTATCGCATAGTAATAAATTATTAATATCAAAAATTATTTTTGTTTTTTCTTTTTACATATTTTGTTAAAAGGACAAATAAGGAATTCAAACCACAAAAAAGTAATTTTCTGTTTTGTTTTATTCTTGGATCAGGCTTTAAAGGGTTAAAAAATGGGACAAGTCTGCATTCATTTAATGTTCCTGTTTCCCAGCTTAGGAATTTGTTCTTAAATAAAAAACAGTGAACTTTGTGCCGGTTTTCATTCACACTGAGAAAGCTCCTCTTTGCTCCCGATCGTCTAAAAAAAATCTGTTTTTGTTCCTGGAGAGGTCCCTGCTAATAGGAGCACTCATTGTTCACTCATGCATGATCACCGTGTTCCTTCCAGGTACTAAGTTTCCCCAAACCCCCCCTAATGAC